CCTGGCAACGATTGTCTGGCATGGGGTGCAAGCCAACATCGAGCACATGATATTCGAACAGAATCTGATTGTGCCGTCTCAACTATCAAAGGGCGTGCTTCGGCACGGGCGCTATCGACAGTTTTCAATGGGTGAGACATTCTGCCCACCTGCTGCTGCTAGCTTATCTCAGTCCCACTGATGCAACGGAAACCACCCGATAAGCCTTAGGTCTGATTTAACTTTATGCTTCGCAGCTATCTCGCCGGATTACTGTCCCATTTGATGCTGCTGTCGCTGTTAAAGTTGTCCCACAACGGTGATACCCTTTTGGTGCCTGCGTAGGAGTCATATGAGAACATGCCATATCTGTTCATCCTGTATCCCTTGATTTCGCAAACGCTCGTCCATGTGAAGCCAGCATGTTTGTGCTTCTCACATACCTCATGACCATCGATTTTGAGCTGGTCATCTCCGTTAAGTAACCTCGACAAGACGGAAAATGTTAAGCCATGTGGTCCGGATCCTGGGGATTCCATTCCACGTCTCTCTGGGCCTTTCTACCGACATAACTTGCTACTGGATATGCCTCCAACCACTTCCTAGAAGGTCCACGTGTGTTTTTGCAGGACTTATTTCCATGGAGTCCCAAGGTCCTGTCCCGGGTTTTTTTCTGTAACACTGTCCATGCAGCCCTCATCACACCGAAGCTGTCGCACCTATTTCCGTTCCACCCTCTCAAGATGCCAAATCATGGTTCGGAGTTTCCATGTCTAATCATACCAGCAAACTCATATCGTGATTGGTTCCAAGTTGTGCTTGTTTGAGTGGTATAAAATGCGGGAAAAGGGACGAAACACCCAGTTGCTTCTGCTGCTCCTGTCGGATCCTCGTCTATCTGCTCTTTGGGACTAGACCATGGTTTGCTTCTCCTACTCTGCCCTGGCAGCTGCCACTGCTGCTTTTACCTACATCGGAGGCGTGGCTTCTGTCCCCCTCGTGGATAAGCTGAGAAGTTTGAAACCCGCTGCACGCAATATTTTGAAGCGCGCGACCCCCGTGGCACCCCATTTCGTTGCCTACAGTGACAAGTACATTTCTGACGAACCCACCGTCGCCGCTATCAATGTTTGTCTAATCTCCTTTACCTTTTGAACTGTCGCTCATAATTGAACGACATTCAAGGGCTTCAACGTCTTGTACATTCTTTCGCAGTTGCCTCTATAAAATCTGACTTTACATCCTCAGCGCCCTTTCATTCTTGGAGTACTACGGTGCAGCAGATCAAGCCCAGGAATGGGAAGAATTAACAGCAATAGAACGTTCGACTATCTTGGAGGAGTACGAGGCTGCAGGCATATCTCTTATCGTGTCCCTGTTCGGCTCTACCGAGACCCCAACTTCTTCCGGATATGACCCCATCGATACCGCCAACACTATGGCTGCGTGGGTTATCGAGTACGGCCTTCAGGGTGTGGACATCGATTACGAGGTGAGACCACATCACAGATTAATTCTATGTTTTTCATTTAATTTATCGACAATCAGGACTTCGCCGCATTCGACGCAGGAACTGGAGCCGCTGAGGCGTGGCTTGGAAATTTCACCACTCAGCTCCGTACCCAACTTCCTCAAGGAGAATATATCCTCACTCATGCTCGTAAGCGAAACATGTCCTTTAATTTGCGAATTTACTGATATCGCATGACAGCCGTTGCACCCTGGTAAATTTGGCTTCTTTTTTTGTCAGTATATCCTGTCTAAGCTGGTATCGCAGGTTCTCCCCTAACATGTGGGGTGGTGGAGGCTACTTGTATGTGGATTCCATGGTTGGAGACATGATCGATTGGGTAAGTGTCAATTTCTAGCTTCGCTTGACCCGGAACCTGAATTTTATGCGTAGTACAATCTCCAAGTGAGTGTTATTGCTAAGATTCCCATATTGCTGCTGAGATCTAAACCTCCTTTTCAAGTTTTATAACCGTAAGTGCTCTTCTCAGATCGGAATTAAGATACTCATCATTATTGTCTTGACAGAGGGTACCACGGAATACACAACATGCGAAGGCCTTCTTTACAACTCTTCGTCAACTTGGCCAGAGTCTGCACTCTTCCAAATCTCCGCATCCGGTATTTCACTCGATAAGCTCGTCATCGGCAAACCCGCCACTACCTCAGATGCAAACAACGGCTATATGACCACTACGCTGCTCGCATCTTGCGTCGCTGAAGCTTACGCTGCTGGATGGGGTGAGTTCTGCAGCGGCATCCTTTTACTTGAGTCTGATTTTTTCTGCTTCTCATAAGATGCTGGTGTGATGGTTTGGGAGGTATGCATTTTACCGGAATTATTTTCGGCACAGCAAAGAGTCTCACCTTGCTCTAGTACCCTGATGCAGCTGCTGCTTGGATTGCTGCTGTGCGTGGCGACACTTGGCCTGTCTCTGCTGCACCGACTCCGTCCACGACTGGAACCGCAACTGCCACATCGAGCGCAGCGACCGCGACCACTGGTACTGGTGCATGTGCCGGCGTAGCTGCATGGGCGAGTGGTACCGCAGTATGTTACCAGTCCAACTGAATATTCACCACGGCGCTGAATCCAATCCCTTTTCTAGTACGAGGGTGGTGACGAAGTTACTTACGAGTAAGGAGACTCCGATTTCCCCGCGTGAAATATCAACTAACTGAGCTATTATAGTGGATACCTTTGGACTGCAAGCTACTGGACCGAGAATGATACTCCAGGAGGTAAGCATCCTCTCGTTCAACCCGTTTAGGTGAACTCAATCTCATGCTTTTGTTCCCGAAGGCTCTGCAGATGTCTGGACTAACGACGGAGCATGCGCTTCTACTGCTACCGCCGCGGCTGCCGTCCAGGCCAGGGTGATCCCACCAGCGAAGATCACACCAGCGCCTTCCTTCTAAGACACACGCCGCTTAAACTTGTGCCTATAATCGTTCCTGCATGAGTGCAATGACGCACCCCGGGGATCGTGTCAACGATGCCATGAGATAATGAGATTCAACGACTTTGTCACGGGATTTATATTTGCTTATGACTGGGTATCTTATTATTATGATTGAAAGTGAAATGAAACACACGAGTGAAGAGGAATTATCTGTCAATCCTGTCATGAACAAACCTACAATATTCTTCAGTATCCGCGACAAGGAAAATGTGCAGTGTTTATCTTTGATTCAAACTCATGGTGAAAAGTATCGTATGGTACGGATGCACTTTCTGCCGTTTGATTATGATCATTTCTGTTTTCTCTATACTGCACATGTGCATTTCTGGTGCTGAAGATACTGGTACCCTCTCCTCACATAGGTCGCTTAATCCTTTCATCGTCAGGATGCACTCCCCATCCCTGCATGATAAAAATCATCCTGCAAGGTTATAAATATCCATCTGCCAGTATATGCAAGGCTTGGAACATACCATTTCAACCTATCCGGTCTGAATACATGAAACATCAAGAGCCAAATAGCTAGATCACGTATCCCATTGCGGATCAGCAGTTGCATCGCAAAAGGTTTGATGGGACTCACTGAGTTCCATATAGGTGAAGAAACTAAGTGCACCTCCACTTGCGCCCCTTTTGACGAATCGTACTACGTCAACCCATAGCTTCATGTCTTTTGGGGTGGGCCGGGCATTCGGATCGAGAAGCAGCGTGAGTAGGATCCGAGTATCTGTTCCCGAGATGCCATGTTGCACGTTAGTGTATGCTGAACCACCTAAATGGGCGCGAATCAACTCACAGATACCAATATGCCTATATAGTATTCCAAGCCCGATCAATGATGAGCGGTGATAACATGATTTGGACTTACACATGACCGACGGTACCAATCGCATTGAGGTATGCCGAATTGGTCATTAGCAATGACCAGTCCTCCGTAGAAAAGTTTTGGAGATACATGTTTGGTCTCTATATGTTCCCGAATTCGCCAGTAGATTACATTGATCTAGACGATATGTGGGAGTACTCACGTCATAGCCCTCAGGAAATAAATCTTTTGGCAAGAAACCCAGATCAGGATGCTTGTATCCTGTAGCAAGAATGACGATGTCTGCTCTGATGTCTTCCACACGAGATTGTTCCTGCGGTGGTTGTTTCTTTGTCTTCTGTTCCTTTTCTTTCTCTTCATCCGGGTTACGTTCGTTGCTGCGATTAGATCCTGCCCTTTCACTTTCATCTTGGCTTTCATCGTCTATGATATGGTCGATGTCTTCCTGTACACCTGGACCGAATCCTAGTGGCTCACCACGCTCGATTATTTCGTGTACATTTGCCTGAACGCCATTCTTCGTGAGACGAACTGTATCTCCCCGAACATAAACACATTTGCCGGATCGAACATGATTAAGGAATTCATCGTTGACCACCTGTTTTGAACACGGTTAAAAGCCACCCCATTGATAAGGCATCACTGCGGAAGAAGACATGCATTGAATACATACCGGCGTTCCACCAAAGATAGATTTGTGCGGCAGAAGATCTTCAACGCCGTGATAGTGCCAGAACCTTAGAAAAACTTCCCACAAGAAGCTAAAATGGATTGTCCGATATTCGGATTGTGCCCACGAGTTCGGGATGGATCGAATGCGTAGACGATGATCCAATCCAAGGGAAGATGCCATAGAGGTGCGACGGAACATGATACACGCGAAGAACGATCATCGCAAACATGTCACGGGAGAGAAGTATTAGAAAAGGTCGAATAAACCCATTGCCAGCAAATGGGGTAGAACGTACCTCAAAGGTGTTTCCCGTCCAAAAGGTTGGGCTGCGAGGCAGGTATCAAAGATGATATTCCTGAACAATCACAGTGGAATGCAACAAAATCAGATCAGTTGCTTCAGCATTAGTGGAGAAAAAAGGGAAGTTACTGAATGGGAATATTCACCTTGGGATGATCCACTACAGACACATGGAACAGACGGTCAGCAAACAGCTCTTAAACACCAATAGAGAAAATTTTCATTAAATATGATTAAATGAAGAAAAAGTTGATCTGACCCCGGCTCGAACGGGAGACCTTCTGTGTCAGGATTACGTAAGCTCACAGTTACGAAACCTGTTAGACAGATGCGATAACCAACTACGCCATCAGACCCATAAACAAGCTGAACCCAAAGGTATTAAAGTGTTGTAGTTGGACGGATGCGGTGGCCAATATCACAAAACAGCCCAATGTGAAGGTTACACCAACAGTATGTACTTACCTTGTCCTCTCTTGCCAACACTACGCACCTTTCTGCACCTCTTTCCAGAGCAGTCTCAACAGCCTCGACAGCCGATGCACCGCTCCCGATAACTGCGATTGTTGTCTTTCGCAAAAGATCAGGTGTCGCATTATCGAGTTGAGAAGAGTGAAGAATCGGGCCTGAAAAAACGTTGTCACGTTCGCCACCCTCAGTTTTCAAGTTCGAATTTTCAACCGCAGTCTTCTCGTCCTTGTCATGAATGGAGATGCCTCCAGAAGTATTCGTTTCCTGCGCTAGTGGAGATCCAGGTCGCTTAACATGCGTCGGTGAGGAATCGCCAGCTTCATAATCGTCCTCCTCTTTATCAATGGTGTTCGCTGTAACCGCAGTGTCACCGGCTTGGCGCGCTTTCTTTTGTTTCTTTGACTGTTTCTTTGACTCTTTGGGTACCCTTTCTTCTTTGGCAGATGAAGGTGAAGGCGAATGGGAGCGAGAATGTTTGCGTTTTGATCCTGATTCTTTATGTTGAGTTCGTTTGGTTTTCACGTCCCGCGACTGCTCCTGCTGATCCCTTTCGTTTGACTCTTCAGCGTTGTCTCCTTTTGGTCGTTCTGCCATCCCTTCAAAGTCAACCCACTTCGGCTCCCCACACGTCCCCACAGTGACGATTAACGCGTCGAATTCCCCGTCTTTGCCGTCATTGATGATCCATTTCGATGGTGATAGAGCAGAAGACTTATCTCCGTCTTCTACATGTATGCGTTGTTTTATTCTTTTAGTAGAAAACAGGTTGGGACAAGGCACGTGCCGAAATTTTCCGTTCCGGTACTACATTCGCGTGGAATGCGTCTGACTTTCGTGACGTGTATCTGAATGAAACGGTAGAGGTACTTTAGTGACAATGCATGTGGCATATATCCAAGAAGGCATAACAAACATTAAAACGTGTCCGATTTTCAAGCTTGTATTCTTTCCATATCTTTGTTATTTCTGTGAATGAATATGAGTCAAATATCCCATCATTCGACATTCAGTAGCAACGACACATCATCAGCATGTTATCATCAACGCGATAGAATCTCTTGAACACTCACGTTCGAGTATCGCATCTCTCCTTGGGAACGCTCCCCTCCACATTACTCCAGGATGAAATCGATATAGCAGCGAATTAAGCTGCAATCCTGACGTTTTGTTCTCTCGCGCCCAAATCCCGCCTGGGCGATCTGCAGCCTCGTAGATCACGACTTCGAAGCCATGTGCAAGCGCATGTCTGCAATGAACGTTGATTATATGAAAACAAGTTGGATTTGTGAGTTCATAGCCCAATATAACCCCACACAAAAGCAGGTAGAGACGCTATGATTTGCAATTAAAGAATAGAGGTAATGCAATCAGAACTCACGCAGCAGATGAAACGCCTGTCAATCCCGCTCCAATTATCGCGATCCGAGCATACGGACGCTGTATCACATCCGGGGGAAGAGGCGGTTTGAATAACGCCGTGATGATGTGCTGAGCAAGGACGTATATAATGCGTAGGAACGTAGTGAAAGGCAAGAGAAGGACGAAAAGGAAATACTTGACGATTAGGGTGGCCTTGTGGACTATGCCAGTGATAGAATACTGTTTATGTGCATGCTTTGGTTGGGGATGATGACGATCATGGTGGTGATGAGAGTGGCGATGAGAGTGGTGAGACGGAGACATTGTATGGGGGAGAATGTGAAAAAACGAGATCGCGAGAGTACTTATATTTGTTTTCAGACATATAGGCTATGACGTCAGTCGCTCATTGATACTCCTTAACAGCGTCATCGCCTAACCGCGTCTGACGTTCGCGTCGACTTCTCTATGGTACTCTAACAAAAAACACACGACAATGGCGGTTATGTACTTATATAGATTTAGAAGCCTTCGGTCATCAGGTTAATCCTCCAACACACATACCTGCAGAAGGTGAAAAGTTCACGCAGGTTGGGAATGGAGTTTGCTTTGAAAGTTGCGGCGGTCCAAGAAAGAGTGGCTAAAGGTGGATAACCACCCTTCTGCATCTCTACAGATTGGACATAAGCAAGCTGCACATCCTGATTTCACGACGTCTGTAGCGGCTATACCTGTACCTATTGATATGGCCTCGGGTGAACCTGTAATGTCTTTCATACCTAAATGGATGTATGCTGTTTATTAATATCACATCCACCTCGACGATCCCTTTTGAATCCAAATATCCTCAAATCACCAGCCACATTATCCTACAGCATACCAATTCCCAAACCATCAGAGAACATTCCAAAACATCTGGGTCCCCAATTGTGATCCGGAAGTGCATGTTTAATCTGCTCGGGAGTGACGCAGATGACGTGATCAATATCGACAAGCTTTGGGGAGTTCAAGGTGTTGCAGCTCAGGCCATGCGTTTGTCATCTTTTGAATCAAAACATCGGAGGCGGAAAGCTCGTAAGGAAAATGGAGTTCGAGTTTCCGTAGATTGCGAAAACAGAACAGGGGATGGATGAATTCCAGTGTAGCATCATCTGCGCCGTTTTTGAACGGGCATGCTCGGATGGATAAAGCTTGTAAGATATTGTGCTTGCAGCATCTTGAAAGTGACAACATGAAGCACACTATCGTTTCCATGGTCGTGTGCTGGTGTAAGCGTATGTCAAGTGATACAGGTGAAACTTGTAGTAATTCCAAGAACTCTGTGACCAATTTGAGATCATTGACGTCCAGTCTGATATAACGCAGGTTGGTAAACAAGCGAGGATGGTGTGTGTTCGTCAGCGATTTAAGTTGCTGCAAGGCATAATCGGAGAGGTAGACATCGATTTCAGCAAGATTTGGAAGTTGCCCGAGATTCAGCCACGCGGATTCATCGAGGGTACTACATCTGAACACTTCAAGCCATCGAAGATGGCGCAGGCCTTGCGAAAGGGCTACACAACTGTTTGGTTTCCATTCCAATCCATTTATCTGTAAGTTTTTCAAGTGTGGGAACATAGATCCTAGCCCGCCCAGGAATAACGCTGTATCAAGACAGGATCTGGGTGTGAAAGCTATCTTGAGGTCGACAAGACTTGCACCCGCGATAGAAAATAGAGGGAAATATTCCGGATGGTCATCACACCAATGAAGAGTTTTCAAAGATGGAAAAAGAGGGGTGCCGTGATTTTCGTGGCTATAGATGGCCATCTTGGCAAAAGCAATGAGCTCCGCTTCATTGACTGTAGAATCGAGGTAGCAGCTAAGGGTGCGGACTCTTGTGGTGTACTTTGCAGCGATTTCCCAGTCCTCGTTCGTTAGGCCATTGCGGTTTATCTAGCAGAATAAGCTTCGAGAGATAAATTTGCACAAATGATATACTCACGAAAATACCCTCATCGTTTTCGACCCAGAAGTCGTCTGGCAAACAACAAACCACTGGTCGGAAATCATCCAATTCTTCCCAAAGGCTGTCCAAAGCAGCCGGGTAAATGGTTCGGCACGTTCGCGCGAGTTTAGTTAGGCTGTCTTCGTCCAAATGGTTGCAGATTTCGCCAATAACCTCGGATATCCAGAGTGCGCGGTGCATTTTTCGAAAAGTGGTGAATGGATGAGTTGTGATGAATTTCTCCCATCAGTGCTCTTATACCTTTTCGCTTGTATCAGTGGCACGAGTAACTGTGGACGTTCCACAAAAGTGAGTCGTTCATTGTTGTTTGATGGGGTGGAAAGAATAAAGGTGGAGGATATTACAATCGTGTGGCCCAAAGTGCCCAACCACTTTCGGGCAGACAAGATATTCCACCTGCTTCCATCATGCCAATCGGTAAGCAAGAATTCGAGACTGGTCACTGCTGAACACCTCGTTTTCACAGCGCGACTGAGTATGTCAGGGCAGAGCGATAGTGGAGACAGGTGGAGACTTGGAGCCAGTGGCACAAAGGATGATCTGCCCAGGCTTATTGAAAATGCCTAGAAATGCCTCTACAACCTCCGATTGCCTGAACTTTGAGGCGAAAGAGTTCGTGGATATGCTCAAATGCCGTCGACAGTGATCCGAGGACAGGTTTAGAATTGAACAAGTGTCTGTGAGGTGGCCGGGACCTGTGCTTTCGCAGGAAGAGGGAACCTGGCTGATACAGAATATGGATGTCGTCGAATGGCAAACAACTCAGGAAGATGGAACGGTTTGTAATCTGAATAACGGGGACGTGTCGCAGTGGTGTTGAATTACTTCTCGCGGCAGAGGACGTGAAAAGCGAGAACAGCCTGGGTGTGCTTGCGTGTGCAGCTGTAGTGTTGGGAGGCGCAGCAGGAGACGATCAGACATTGATGTTGTAGAAAGGGTTTAACAATATGTTCATTGATTTGTATGGTACTCGTGAGCTTCAGACAGTCTTCAGACCTGTTGACGGCCACTGGTACAAGCCACCGTGGCTGATTCTGGGAATGTAAAATGAGGGGTGAAGGGAATCGATGGAGATCGACGGCCTGTAGCAAAAGAAAGCTGACTTGATTTCTTCGTTATTACATTTTTCCGTGCATGTCAGACTGTCAGTGAAAGGGGTTTCTGGCGGGATGATGTCGCCCTTCATTGCAACCCGGACCCAACCACGAATGGGTGCATGTGAGCTGTCCTAAAGATACTGCTTGTAGCAACCCGACCCGACAACAATGAAACAGAGAGCGAGACGAGCGGTAATGAGCGTGATTGATTGCAAATGAGTAAAGGATCCATGCACAAGAGCAATAACAAATTTTAGCCCTAACATCTCACACAGTGCATCTCCTCATGCGAGTTCAGCGAAACCAACTTGTGTGTTTCCAACATCAAAGATCGTGTACGTATTGCGGAGGAAAACATCTCCCAAAATCCATAAATCTGGATAGAATACCATCATGCCATCAGATTTAATCCATGAAACTC